ACTGTACATAACTGTTGTGATCCAATTTGATTTGTCTGTGGCGTCCAAGTGAACTTCATGTAGTAGATCGATGAATTTGTTGATGAATGTGTAAGATTACCATGAGTCATACCAGTTATGCTACTTGGAACAGCAATATCAGTAAGTGTAGCTACAGTCTGATTACATAAATTCATTGCAGATAGATTAAAGCTAATTGAGACACCAACTTGTACTTCTAGACAACGATCTAGAGGAATAATTACAGGTTCGATTGAACAAGCTGGCTGTGGTTCAACATATATTAAAAATTGAACTGGTACTGAACTCATGGGTGTCATACTGCTTCCACTGATAAAATCTTCAACCTATAAAGAACAGAATGATCATTGAATACTATACATCAATATTAGATTATTCCATAAACCTAAGCTGATATCTTATTCATTCGATACTCATCACATCATTTTTTTTGTCTCTAGATCAGTGTCCGATATAAAAACTATAAATCATCTAACCTACTTGTAAAAAGTCTTGGTACACAAGTTTTGTTCGATTTTCGACCACTTGAAGGTCGCAGAACAGACTCAAAAGTAGTCATTTGGAAAGAGAATTTCGTGCTCTTTCTAAATACATTTTCAAAATTTTATTCTGACTTGAACTTGATTCATTAGGAGCAGATATTTGATGGAGACCAAAAACAACATTTGTACAAAATATTCCATGCAGGCCATTCTTGTATTTTGGTTAATAGTGCTTCAGTTCAAATTAAACGAAAAAGATTTTATACACCAGTTTGTAGAATGAAGCTTGCTCTACAAAATGCTCAATTTACTTTGTTTCTAACATATCATTACAAACCATCAGCTTTTCTTGAACGTCAAACAGCGCAATACGGAATAAACGATTCTTTTGAAAAATGTCATTTCATGAAAAGAGTATCGTTCCGAAAAATATTTGTAACTTTTCATCCTTTTGAGTTCTAGTTTATTGTAACTCATAGTTCTGTAAAATATGTAATTCTCTTCAACAATAGAAAGTAATAATTATCCTATAATACCTTTTAACGATATTACGAACGAGAGGAAAATAAGTGCGTTTTACATGTTGCAAACGAGATTTTTATTTATTCAGGTATTTGTTTACAACTGACTAGCTAAGAGTCAGAGCAAAATTCTAAAGATATATTTCGAAAGACAATCGAACTCTGATTCTAAATGACTACTTTAGATTCTTTTCGATTACATTTGAATGACCGAAAAATCAGCAAACATAGTTATCATTACTTTTGAAATTAGTGTTTTGTACAAACGTTGTTCTCGGTCCCCATCAAATATCTGCTCCTAATGAGTCAAGTTCAAGTCAGAATAAAATTCTGAATATATATTTAGAAAGAGCATGAAATTCTCTTTCTAACTGACTACTCTTGAGTCTGTCCTGCGACCTTCAAGTGATCGAAAATCGAACAAAACTTTTGTAACAAGACTTTTTACACGTAGGTTATATCAGCAGAAAACAATTTATGTGATACGATTGAATGTACATAGTTTTCTAATTCATAAAGTAGTTCAACAAAAGCGGAATACTGTTATCAGATGGTTAAATGTCCAATTAAACTAATATTAACTATAAGTTCTCAATAAAGATAAATAATTTCATGACCGTAGTTGAAAAATCAGTAGTAAACAAATCAAAATCTGCTTACCTGAATAGCAACTGCATACCAGACACCAGCTTTATGACCTGTGAATGTGATAGTGCAGTTGGACAGAGTTGTACCAGATGGTACACTATTAGGGTAACAAATATCAGCACATTCATCAATTGCTTGACGAATTGGAAACGTCGAAGTCGATTTCGGTGTTCCTGGAGTTTCTGTAGTAGTTGTATTGATTGTAGTTGTCGTATCGGTTGTAGTGGTCGCACCTGTTGTGGTTGCTGCAACGGTTGTTGTCGTCGTCGTATGTATTGTGGTCGTCGCAACTGTTGCAGAGCATCCTCCACTGTCAGTACATGTCGTCCCAGTACATGTTGTAGAAGTACAGCCATTACAGCCGCAGCTACAGCCATATGAACATGAAGACAAGCAGCTACTACAACCTTGTCTTTTTTTTCTAGTATGAATGAATTCTCTATTACTAGCTACTTCACTGTAAAAATAAATATCAGATCGATGCTTTATATGTTCTTCTTTATCGAATCGTTTTCGTCTTCGATATCCAGTTGTATATGTTGACCATCGACACCGTACATCATCACCAGCATTCGCATCCGAAACAGGTATATTTATTTGTATTGTTTTATTTACAATGGCATATTGTGGTGACACAAATTTGGCAACAGGTGGAGTATTAATGAAACCATCGGATCGTTTACGAAGATCAATGTATGTTACAATAGACCAATCAAGACCTTTTTCAGCAGGATCATTTAATGGTACCCAAGCACTTCCTCTATAAGCAATATAAAAGTGTGCATCAGCCGTAAGAGTAACATTTTTCGATCGTTCAGTAGTCATCATTTTCAATGATGAACTAGTTGATGTACAATCAGTAAGAATATCAATTGGTTTAGTAGAATAACCACCATCAGTTGAGCAATCAACTACACAAGTCAGATTAGTGTTAGCACTACCAAATCCACTAGTCGTGATCGGTACATTGTGGGCGCATTGTATATATGGATATGTCCATGAATAAGACTGTGTAATGGTAATATCAACGGGAGTGGAATTATCATAAGGATCAATGGGAGCCCATCCAATCGTTCCTCCATTGAAATGTTTTGCACCAGTAAAAGTGAAAGAACAAAATAATATAAATAGACCAAAAAACATGTTTTATCACTAGTTAAATTAATGAATCAGAATCTAGAAAACAAATATATCCATGAATATCATATGATGAAAAACAACTATTACTGATTAATCAGAAAATCTCATTGATTTATCCTTTGCTAAGCAGAGTGTACATTGAGACCCTTTCTCTCAATGCGATATTTTCTCAATGAACGAGAAAAAAGACACAGATGATCAGCTGTCTAATGAAGTTTGAAGCGAGACGAACATTTTTTCATTGAATAAAATCAAGATTGTTTATGTGAATAGGAGTTCTGCACGTGAATATGTATTACTTGTTTGTACAATTGTTATCAGACGAAGTGTCCATAGACTTAACAAAACAAAATAATTTCATGACTTTCATGAATTTTTTCTCAAAACCACGAAAAAGAATGGTATTTTGAAGGATAAAACTGATATAAAAACTAATGTATTGTTTCAAATTCATTAGGTAACTGCTCTAATCAATGAATATAAAAAGCATCAATGGTCATGTCACTCGAATCATTTTAATACATTTTTTTCGATTTTGTTAATTTCTGACTTGCGTTTTATTAAAACTCTATTCTCTTGGTATTGTAATACGTGAATTATAACTAGATCTATTAGTTTGCAAGAATAATCTACTTTTCAAGTTCCTCTATTAAATAAATATTATAAAGTAAAACATCAGTGTAAGTCTCAATACCAAACTAAATGATTTCTCTGAATTATATATTTTAATAATCATGCATATATTAACGACATAAATTTCAATACCTGTGAATACAGTTCTTCTTGCATTAGTAACAATTGTTCCTAAATAGTAATGTTGTTCAGTGAAATGATTGCAATTTGAGACACATCTGCAAGATCACTTCCGTTGCTTTACCACAGTTTATGATGAGAATAAAAGAAGGCTTTTTCTAATAAAGAAATGAATAGAATTTGCTAGTGTCTGCAGGTTATATTTCATGAAACCATACTAGTGAATATTAATTTTCAAGTTTTTTTTTCAATTTGATTAATATTCAATCACATCGACGTGCTTTACCAATAGTCAAGCAACGTGTAGTTGTGTATTATACAAAAATAAGATTGCAAACAAAAGCGAATGTACCTGTGCTTCACCAGCATGTAAAATTCAAAGTTTATGTTTATTATAAAAAAAGCATAATTCAATCAATAATAATTTCCTTCTATGAGATACTGTCGAAATTTAATTATAAACGCAAAGTTTTCATTTGAAAACAAAAAAAATTATTGAATACTATTGAATATTCACCTATGTACTCTTTATGAAAATTAATATCGCCAACAATCAATGCTTATTGGATCTGAGAGGAGTCCTTTACTCTGCTTATCATGCATAGAAAAGTTAATAAGAGAAATCTAAGAAGATTTCAATTTTATTATATTAGTTGTGGAATAGTCTTTGACAAATTTGTATGTATATGTAGAATATTATTATGGCAGTCACAATGTTTTTCATCTTGCAAAATATACTACTGGAATTCAAATTTCATACTACGGTGTTAGTATCAATTTCTTGTCTATAAATATTTTCTCATAATGTTTGCTTTTCTAATATGTTCATGATGTTGTCCCAAGTCCTTTTTTCATTCGTTATCGATCAGACAGATTAATCAATAGAAATTTATTGTGATTGTTCTTATTCTTCAATGGTTTATTTATTGCTTTGATTCGCTTTCTTATTAAAATTTTTTTTAGATAACGTCAACAAAGAAAGATATATTCGTCATGTCAACAATGGAAGAAAAAAAATAGCATGCATTAATTAAAACTTTTTCATATTTAAGTAATAAAAACAATTATTTGATTTGAAGAGAAGATTGTAAATATCTCCTGTATTCATAGATAAATTGGATTCTTTTATGATTGTATATGCTTTTTTTTTAACCATAAAACTAATGATAAAATTATGAAATGGAATAAATTATCGTCTGATTAAACAGAATGGCAAAATTGGAACGGATTTGCATGAAGAGTGGAGTGGGAAAGCCAAAATTGGAAGAACGAAAATTGCGCGCCGATTATTAGTCAATACGAAAAACAGCCGAGAAATTCATAATAAAAGAATAAGAGGTTTTTTTCTTTGAATAGAAGCTTACATTCAGACGTATAAATTAATCCAATAGAAAAAAAAGATGGAAGACGCTATGATCTCGTTGCAAATCATTACAAACGGACGTATATTTCTCTGACACGTGTAGCATGTGAACTAGAATTTGTTTTTTTTTTTCAAAACTAAAACTTATAGATCCACAGATTTTCATGAAGTTAAACGGACATTAATTCTGATAGAAAAGTGGATCTAATTAAAACAAACATTTTAAGTGTGTGGTGTGGATGTTGATGTGAGGTATGATGCTCTTTATTGTTACTTTTCTGTCGCTTAAAAACAAATATCCTCGAAAATGGTTGGCATCTACTTGTCTTTTACAGTATACCATCGCAAAAATTAGAATGACTAAAATTACTCTATGAACTGATATTTGTTTTTTTCATATAGCTGAAAACTTTTGTTCTTTTATAATAAATATCTCACCTATTTTTCGCATCGAACAATTTTTGTATATTCAATTCGAACAACATTTCGATTCAAAGTATCGTTTTCAACAAATAAAAATTATCTGATAGTGAGAAATCAATATTATGAATTACACAAAACATTTTCAAAAAAATGATGAACTTAACCAATAAACACATTACAAGTCAAAAATAAGTTCATTACTAATTTTTTTCTAATAACAGCATAAGTGAAACCATTAGCGACAAATATATCCTTAACTTTGCGAATTTCAATTATTTATCACTTCGCTATCATCAATTCACAAGCTTTCTCTGAGCAAACAAAAAATTTTGAATTTTTGTAATAAAAACGATTCACATTAGTGAACATTAATTTTAGTAGGAAAAACAATTTTTACGATGTACTAAAAATAAATTATTTTAATTAAAATTTTCATTAACTGATGGTCTTGGATCCTATATTGCATACGTAAGAGTTAATTACCTGAAATTTAAGTTGATGACTATATGTTTTTAATTTTGAAACGTTTTTCTATTGGTAAAGAAATGCATGAACAGTGGTTTTTTTTGGAAGAGACAGCAAATAACAGAGAACATCAGTGGATACGCTATTTTCAAAAAGAAATTATTCTATCAATATTTTCATAGTATACTCCAATCGAGTAGTAAGACTCTAATATATAATCAATCGTTCTGTAGTTTAACTTCGTTATGTCTCAATATATTAGAAGAGATCACTTGTATTAATGAGCAAAAGGATAATTTCGAAGACTTTCTTCACTCTGGCAATCGATTTTCTTCATATTTCTGCAACTTTTTTATGCTTTCTGAGTCTTTATGCTCAACCGTCCCTTTTTCTCCTCCTTCGCTCACACGTCCTTCATTCATACATCAGCACAAACCACCTAAACTCAGCCCATAGTCACAGTCAAGTTCCCACAGTTTCCTTCTGTATTTATAACGAAATTCTCTATATTTTTGCAAATAATATCCGATAGCAAATGCACAAATAATTTTACATGTGTCCATGAATAAAGAGAAGTGTTTCGCTTTGCGAGTTTCGTTGAATAGGATTATGAATAGGAAAGAACAGTTGAACGCAATATTCTATCAAAAATGTAAATCAATCGGAAAATTTGTCTTTTGTTTGTTCTTGTGCAACATAAGCTCGCACAAGTATTGATCCACCAGATTCAATGAAAGATGGTTGCACACCACCATGCATTTGCATTGAAATGTCTTCGCTTGGCATCACATTAATTGAGGTAGACGACATGAACATAGTCCGTGTTGTTGTTTGCGATGAAGCATCGAAAGGCAACAATGAATCAGACAAATAGGAGTGTCCGTAGAATGAGTTTGTCGTCGGTGCCCACGAACTATCATTGATGTACTGTCGTCGATAGTTCCTTAGATTCTCATCAGATATTTTACTGTTGTTGTCATATGAATGAGTATTGCATTGTCTTCGGCATACTTCGCAATGAGCATGCTCATCTCGCCAAAATCTATCCCGCAATTTTCTCCTAAGGAACGAAATGAATTCCAGGCACCAACACAAGTATAACATATATCTACGTACCAGAAAAGTCCTGGACACCATCGACAACAAAGACAAGTAGCCAATATACTCAGGATGAGCAGTAGTGGAATACCAAGGCCTAGAACTAGTCCAAGCACAAGAGGCAGATGGTTGAGCGATTGGATGTTTAATACTTGTGAGAGTGATGTAGTGGCAGATGTTGTAGAAGTTGTTGTTGTCGTTATAGTTGCCGATGATGTTGTTAAGGTGATTGCTGTGGAAGTGGTCGTTGTAGAAGTAGGCATTGTGGAAGTGGTTGTTGTGGATGTGGTTGTGGGAGAGGCCGTAATAGAAGTAGTTGTTGTGGAAGAGGCCGTAATAGAAG